TGTTGGTGTTCTTGTCTTCTCGTGAATGTCCTCACAGCCGAGATGAGGACAACCCTCTGACATGAGGCTACTGCTCCTTTAAGGGGCTCTTATAGGCTGAGGGCTGGGGTGTGAAGATTAGAATTAAAATGTAAGTTTTAAAGGGTTATATTAAGGTTAGTTCAAGGTTTAAATGGGATTAGGATTAGGTATTAGTTAAGCATATATTTTATGAAAATAGAACTTCTAGTGCTACCGTATATTGATACCACAGAGAAGGTTTCTAAATATACTCAGTGGATGAAATCTCTGAGATTTCCTGATGTAAATGGAGAAGTCATGCTTTTTTAAACAGCGGTTTGGGTACAGCCACCAAGGAAAAACAAACAAAGAAAAGATCTGTGATTGTGACATACACTGGAAACCTTCCTGGAAACCTTCCCTGGGTGCAAAGAACAGCAAAGCAATGACCATCTAGGGTGAAGAATTAGGTTGGATTTTGCAGATTATTACCTCATGGTTGATGATGTTAGATTACAATCAGGATTTAGGTGTAAAGGAATATATTTTTTTTACTGAGAATTAGATGAGAAGATTAATATCGCACTCATGTTTGAACGCTAAATATGAAACCAGGTGACGATTATTTTATCTTAGCCTAACATAACTACTGGAAACAGGGGAAAACTGCTTAACATGTTATGTTATTATGTTATTTAAAGTGTAAAAAGGGCACGCTGTGGTTTTAGGAAAGGTTATGTGAGGGACTATTTCTTGGCCTAAGTCTCTCGTGTGCCTGCAAACCTCAAGATGACAACAAGACCCCAAGAAGTCAGTGCGCCTGGCCAAGACATAGTCCAGTACAAAATGCTCATTGAAAACACAAATTACATTAATCTACTTATCATTAAAGTGAAAACGCACATTTCCCTAAACATCCAACTGCTCCACATGTTTTAGGCGAGAGTAGATAATTAGGGTCCTCACAGATACGGGAATATAAATGTTTTGGGTCCATGTGTGAAAACAACAGCTGATCGTTTGATCAAAATCCGCTCGTGTGTCCGTTGTTAAGTAAAACCTGGTCCAAACTGGCTGGGTTCCTGTAACTCTTTCTCTCTTGGCCATCTGTTTACATGTAATTCTACCATCTACTGTTTCTTTTTGTTGTTGTACTGTTCTACCATTTCTCTCCCTCTAGCTGTCCTCACCCTTCACCCCGAGGCTGCTCGTTTCAGACCCCTGTTCCTCCCTCTGCCTTTGTTCTGTCCTCCTCTCCTCTTCCATCTATCTATCCCTCCCTCTCTGTCAATCCTTCTCCCCTGGGCCATGTGGACAGTTGGATGGCTTTGTGTTTGACACATGTGTTGGCAGGAGGCAGCATGCAAACACACTTACACACACACACATACACACCCACCAATGCACATGGAGACACACTTCCAGTTTCTATTGTCAGTAAACTGCACAGCTGTGAGCCCCCTAGCCCTAATTCTGTATGTGTGGGGTGAGGACAGGGCCCCCATTGTCCTGCAGATTAACACACACACACACACACACACACACACACACACACACACACACACACTCCTCAGACCCCATGGGGTCTCTTAAGTGTGAATGTGCCTTGAGGCAGAAAATCAGGGGGCAATTTACGGAAGGGTCCAGCAGAGAAGATGGGGGATGTACTGCAGGCTCAATCCGCTGTTTGAAGCTTTAAAGTCAAACTGTTTCTTTTGTTTCTCATTCTGGATGATATAACAGATAGACAGTTCATGTCTTGTCATCTCTTAAAAATGTACAGGAATTGTTTTAGTGGAGTGTACTGACAATTCCCATAGTGATATACACAGAGACTGACACTCTAATGGTGCAGAAAACATGAAATTACTGTAAAATAGACATATTTTTCCGCATATTTGCGAATGATCTCTTGCCTTCCTGAATTTCTCTGTGTACACACACTGCAAGCTACAACAAAGTTATCAAAACCAAAACAATTTTCAAATTTAGATTTTTACTTTATTATTTGAATCAAATACATTGAGGGCTGTATCCTTATCACCTCTTGCTACTTCATCAGGGTGCCCTTAAAGTGACTTCACATACAGTATGTTAGTGTTGGGATGCTGGACAACAGAATCAATTTTGATGATCACTGGTTTGAAGCAAAGCCTCCCAAAAACTAAAACCCGGAAAAGCCTCCAATCCAGCAGAATTGGGGTGCTGAGTTTGTATGTTTGTATTTAACATGCAAATTAAACTGTAAATAAGCAGCAGTGAAATAATGAGGTGAGCCCTCATGTACTCTGAAGTTCAGCCTCTATGGACACTCCGTCTTTAAAGCTTTACTATCAGTGCGGCGGGTCGTGTCGCTTTGTGATATTAGACTTCCACAATCTTCTTCTAGCACTGGGAAGGAGCAACGCTTAATTGCCTATTTGTTTGTAGTTGTAATTGATTTATTTCTGCAGCAAACAGGATTACAAAATAGAAGTGATAAGATTACAGCAATTAGGCTCGCACATAAACAACCAAGAAGTTAATCTTACTTCATGTGCACACAACTGCCTAAAAATACAAATATATAACTTTTGAAGCAAATCTTAATTTTACAGAAAGAATCATCAGTGAAATATTTCCCCAAGCCGTGAAACCTGAACTTGATCTCACAGCAGCATGACTTCAGTGGATACCTGTGTGTATTATGTTAAGCCTACAGTGGCTGCTCACATTCAAAACCATTGACCTACATCGGCTGGTGTCCAGAATAAGGTCGAGTCAGTTAGGAGGTTGAGGTTTACGTGTGTGCATATGCATGAATTCCATGTGTGTGCGGGGCAAAGTTAATGTGTCTAACCCATATGTCTGCTTCAGGTGATCCATGTCCACCAGTGTGTGTGTTTACAGATCTGCACATTTCCTCTTTTCCTACTCTGAATGAGGCCAATTGACTGCCTTTGACGTGGACACACTGTGTGTGTGTGTGTGTGTGTGTGTGTGTGTGTGTGTGTGTGTGTGTGTGTGTGTGTGTGTGTGTGTGTGAGATCCAATGTGTGTCTGTGTGTGTATTTGTGTTGAGTTCCTCATATGCCTATTTTACTTTTTAACATCTTAGAGAGTTCCTTAGTGTAGGCCATTAACACTGTACAAACTAGCTTACTTTAAAGCAAAAATTCAAAGTTTGCTGTGCGTGAAATAACGTAGCGGCGTCCATCCAGGACTTCATGGATTCATCGTATCTCACCGGTACCTGAAGCAACCCCCACCATTGCAGCCCTGTGGGCTCATTGTCTTGCTAAGGCTACAACCAGCATCTGGTTAGTTTAGCTTAGCACAACAACTAGAAACAGCTAGCTTGACTCTGTCCACCAGTACCTCAAATGCTGTCCAATCAACACAATATATCTTGTTTGTCTAATCACTTCTAAAAGCTTTGTGTAAAAATGGCAACTCAGTGAGGGTTAAGTGCTGGAGTACTTCTTGAGGAGTTGTCAAGCAACCTGCAGAGGTGGGAAGCTAAGCTAACCTGGCTGTAGCTTCATATTAAACTGACAGATATGGGTGTGGTATCAATCTCTAATTCTGATTTAACTCGCCAGCAGAAAGGAAAAAAGCATATTTGCCAAAATGTCAAACTATTCCTTTAAAAGTGTGAGGTGTTTTTGTGTATCAATGTGTGTTAGTTTGTACCGACTCCTAATTAAACGCATCCTCTTATTGTTAATTGTAGATGTCTGAGAACAAGTCAGACATAACCATGGTTTACCGTTCTAGACTCTCTCGCAGTGCATGTTACATTTGAATGCCTCTGCAGACATGTGATGTAATGGTATAGTAATGACATAGTGGGAGCGGTGGTGCTGTGGGGAGTTTGGTTCCCCGGTGGTCGCTGCAGCCCTGGGAAAAGGAAGTCCATACAGGAAGTGAGCTGGCTGGGCCTCTGTCTTGCATGACTACGAACACTGTAGTCTGCTTCACCGCTGTTGTATGTATAGAATAAGTAAGAGTGCAAATGCTTCTACACACACACACACACACGAGTACTTCTGCACAATAGTGTTAATGTCAATGCGTGTGTGAGTGCAATGGCATGTTGGTGTGATTTGTTTTTAAATGCTACATGGAGGTGAAACGTGTAGTGTGTGTGTGTGTGAGTGGTATATGTGAGTTTTTCTTTTTCTTTTTTTTGGGAACGTGCGCATGTGCTTTCCCAAACTGTCTTCACTTTCTCGACTTTGTGAATGACTGATGTAGCTGTGGGAAAAGGCTCCAACGACTTCAAGCTGATAAATGAACTTAGTCATCGCATCACCTCAGAGCCAAGTGTTTTGCAGTGAAGTACAGATGTGACGACAGGAAAGAACAGAGAGCCATAGAGCAAAACAAAACAGAGCCGGCACTGGACGTAATGTGTTAAGAAATGTAAAGTAGGAAAAACAACAACTCAACAACCGTAATCTCACATCGTGGGAAGAGCCATTCGTCGTATGGAGTACTATTTCTTGATACATATACTTGTGGTACACTTGACATGACAAGACCTTGATGTCTTAAATGTGCACAAGCCGCACTCGTGCAATGTATGTGGCACGTGTAGGCGTGTGTCTATATGAGCATGTGTGCCTCTAACAGGGGGGGAGGGGAGGGGGGGAGTTGGTTTGGTTGGTTGGCTCGGTGTGAGCTCTTTGTAAGAAGGGGGGAGGGAGGGAGGTGAACTGGGTGTTTCTCTCAGCTGCCTGCTGGTCTGGTTGCTGTTGGTAACTTTGCTTGATGAGATCAGAGGGGATCGACTTTCATCCCTCCATGTCTCTTTCTCTCTCTCTTTCTCTTTCCCTCTCTCAATTAAATGCAATTCAATGTGGCTTTAATTGCATGAAAGTAAAAAAATTCAATGTTGCAAAGCATAAAAATACAATAATAATATTCTCTCCCTCTCTCTCTCTCTCTCACCCTCTCCCTCTCTCTCTCTCTCACCCTCTCTCTCTCTCTCTCTCTCTCTCGGAAAGACTGAAGTGGAACTCAATCTGTAGGGGGCTGAAAGTGTGTTCGGAGCTGTAGTTGTCAGAGGAGACCGTCGTGACGGCGCTGCCTTGGAAACACTCTTTAGAGTTTGAGCGCAAGTGTGTTTGGGGAAGGAGGGAGGTGAGGAAGAAGTGATAGCCTCGGGACAGATAAGCTCCAGGGAAGGGAAAGAGGGAGGGAACAAGAGAGGGAGCAGGAGGGAGAGGTGGGTAGCTCTCTCTTTCTCTTTCAGTCAGACTTGCTGGTCTCCTCGTCTGCGGTCCTCTCGGGTTCTCTCTCTGCCGTTGGCTCAGCTGGAGGAGTTTAGCTGTTTTTTGGCTGGATTTGAACATGAACTGAAGAGCTACACGCAGCGAGACATGAGGAGAGTCACCGGAGATTCACTGTAAGCGGCTTTAACTGTGTGTTGTCTACAAGGTGTAGTGTGTCATCGCTGAAAAATGTCTTACTGAATGAGATTGCTGCTATTTCAGGAGTGTGTGTGTGTTTGTGGGACAAATAGAGTAGCAGCTACAGCTGGATGTGATGCAGTGTGCTTATTTATACGTATGTGTGTCTGAGGGTTAAAACTAGCTGAAGGTAAGATACATTTTTCTTTCTTTTACATTCGACAAGATCAGGTTTTTTTGTGACAATTTATAGTATACTCAACATTTTTCTTTCCTCTGGATGCTACCATGCACTCAGCCTCTCCTCTGTCCTCCCTCCCTCCATCTCTCTCCCCCTTTCTTGCTCATCTCCTGTCGCCTTTAATATGCGTAATGGTCTTGAGGCCCCAGCTGGCCAACTGGGATACCCCTGTGTGTGTGTGTGTGTGTGTGTGTCTGTGTGTGTCCTTTTGTTTGGGAGGGATTGAGAGTTGAGAGTTCTGGGATAAGCTACCCTTAGTTCCCCCCCGCTCTTATACAATAATAGGATAGATCCTGCTTTCTATTTTTAAACAAACTGTTTGTCTGTATGTTACGAACACCCCTAATCTGCCGCCTTGCTCCACACTGCCTGCAGTAGCTTTTCTCACAGTGTGTGTGTGTGTGTGTGTTTGGTCTATGGATTTGGGTGGGAGGGTGTATTTGTGTGGTCCATCCTGGGATAGAGAGATAGCAGCCGTCCTTTCTGACTTTATCCTTTTGTTTTGTCAGCTGCTGACCTCAGTTTCTCTCTCTCCATCTTTTTCATTGTTTGTGTTCTCTTTATTTCTGTCAAATCCATACAGCCTTCTTCCACCACAGCCGCTGCCTGCTTTTTATAGTTAGTGCCTCTATTTAAATAGCCACCTTTTTTTTAGGCTCTGTTTTTAATTTTCTTCCTGTCTTTCTCTTTGCTTGTCTGGTCTCTGGTTGCGTTGTGAGAACAGTGAGGAGGTGGCAAGCTGTTAATGTGTGTAAATGCTTATGTGTGTGGATGCACTCGCCCATGTCAAATGTCCTTGCACAGAACCCTATGTTCCACTTTGCACAGTACAACAACACTGGGATGAGACAGACCCATAAAACATGAGCATCTAAGTGTGTGTCAGAGCTATGGCTGCATTTTGTTCCCCATTGTCTTTTATCGTTTGTCTCATCAATGAATTGCTTTGTCGATAAAATGTCAGAAAATAGCGAGAAATGCTCTTCCTGACTTTCCAGAACCCAGAGTGACACCTTCAAATTGCTTGTTTTGTTCAACCACCAGTCCAAAACCCAAATCTATTCAGTTTACAATGATATAAAAGAGAGAAAAGCCGCAAATCCTCTAATTTTAGAGCTCGAAATGACACGTTTGGTATTTCTTACCATTCTAGAGATTGAAATGCTGGTCTGTCAGTCCATCACTGTGGTCCTGACTGAAATATAACATTTATTTTTATTTGATACTTTGGTTTCAAACTAAATATACAGAAAATGACTTTCCGGTGCTTTGTGTTTAGTGCTAATAGAAATCATTAGCATGCTAACGCAGTGCGCTAAGACTATAGCCTATAGAGCCTCACAGAGCTGCTAGCATGGCTGCAGTCGCCTTGTAGTCTTGATGTTGATAAATAACTTAAACAATGTATTGATTATTAGAGTTGCTAATGTTCTGACTAATTAATAAAGAAACAGTTTCAACTCTATAAAGTACTGTTTGCTAGTTGATAATAAAGAAATAGCTCCTCAGTCTCCCAATTGTTTAAAGCCATCCAGTGAAACCAATGAAAACTTTGGCCCAAATGTTGTTGTGGAAGTCATTCCATCATGATGACAGCGTAAAAAAGAATAATTCATGTGTTGCGTTAGACTCCAGTGGGTGTGAGAAGTTTCATCACACTCTTGTGCATTCGGGACGGATGCTAAATGAGTAAGGCGGCAGCAGTGCGTCATATTCGGGCAGACTTTGATTCAGTTTCATTACTGCTGGGGTTGTGAATCTGCCACCTGAATCTACTGCTACCCCAGAGAGAGCTTTATGGATGGCACCGCCAAGGCCTTCTGTGTGTGTGTGTGTGTGTGTGTGTGTGTGTGTGTGTGTGTGTGTGTGTGTGTGTGTGTGTGTGTGAGAGAAAGATTAATAGGTTTTGCGTAGGTGTCCGTAAAGGAGTGCTCAATCACTGCAGCACTAATAGTCTTCCCTTAGGGCACCATGGATTTTAAGGTGTCACAGCAGGCATGAGAGGAATAAGAACTTAGGAGCAGACGGTGTGAGTGTGTGTGTGTGTCTGTGTGTGTTTCAACCTGTCCAAATACGCTGCATTTATTTTATTTGGCAACTATTTAGTTTCAATCCCCTAGATAACCAACGATGCAAGTTCAGTATGTAAGAGAAAGAGCGAGGGAATTTTAGGAGGGACTTTTTTCATTTTAAAAGAAGAGCAGATTATTGTGAGCAGAGGAGGAAGATGTGGGAGAGGGAACATGATTCATTAGGGAGACGGTGACTGGAGTTACTTGGAAAAATGTTCAGACTGTGATGGAAGAAATAAAGATACACTCTGCTTTTGATCAACTTGTGTTTATACAGGTCATTTCTTCCACGATTCAGTCAATTTCATCTTTGTTTGACTTAGTTTGTGCCCGTCAGTGAGCGTGTTTACTTGTTTGCAGCTGTGTGTGAATTTGTTTGTGTGCAGTGTTTTGCAGGCCGTGCTTTTCCTGCATGCTGAGCTGGTATTGATTGCCGCACGGTAGACGCTGGGGCATTTAGGTGGCAGGCCTGAGATAATTTGTACCAATTGATAGGGTGTCAGCTCGGCTGTAGCCTCCATGGATTTACAGGTACAGTGAGACAGGCGACGAGACAAAGGGACAGGTGAATAGGGAAGAAAGTAGAAAAGAAATGGGAGCAAGGATGGAAAGTTGGTGAAGATAGAGGAAACAAAGTTAAAAAGCCAAACCTATAAAGAGAGACAGTGATAAAAGAGTCCCGGTATCTTCTTCTACAACTGCCTAATAAGTCCAGAGATGTCTCTATGAGCGCACCACTTCTCCTCATCAGCTGCAAGATGAGTTGAAAGTCCCAGTCTGGAGTCTCTCCTTGTATTTTGACATCCTGTTAGGAGCCAGACGCTACAGTTTATGTCTAGCTGCGGCATCTTCAGCTACCCAGGGATTCCCTCATAAGGAATGAATGTCAGCAATGTAGAGAGGATGGTGGTTTGTTTAATCTAGTGGGTACAGCTGTTGCCATGAAGAGATATTATATACATGTGTGTCTGTTTTTCTGTGTGTTTATGAGCTCTGTTTTTTTACTCTAGTTGCCCAAATGCCCGCCCCCAGGAGTAGAAAGTGAAAGAAGTGACCACTTCATGATTCATTTTTCAGACGTCATATAGGGTTGAGGCAAAGTTGCTGTACCTGTGTTTAAATCAGGTCGGATTGGTTTAGAATCTGTTAACGGTGGTAAAAAGTGATACGGTCGGGCATCAGGCTGTGAATAAAAGTTCTTGAAAATGGCAAAACTTCCATATATCTGTTTTAATGAGACGCAGAACATGAGTTTGGCCTTTGCCTGTTGTCAAACTTTAAAATATTTCCTTGTGATGCTCTCCACGATGAATTTCAAGCCTCACCAGCACATCAGTGAGCAAGCAATTTTTAAATTAACACTCTCCCTAATTCTGCACTTAAATCAGAACTCACTACGACCAGAATAATTCGAGTTCACCGACCCATGAAAGGCGAGTCAAAAAGTTAATTTAGCACACTGCTGACACGTTTTAATGCTGTTCCCCCAGGAAAAGACAGATACCTCAATATTTCAGGAGGAAGCTGCTAAATATCTCATGTGATAACAGAGAGAGACACATGAAACGTTTGAGTTACAGTTCATTCAATGTTTAATTGCAAGGTCTGTAGTTCAAAAGGAATGTCCCTGATGTCTTGGCTGTCTTGTGGACAAGTTATGTGAACATTTCAAAGAAAGAATAGTTTGACATTTTGAGAAATATGCTTATTTGCCATTCTTTCTGGGAGTTAGATGGAAAAATCAATACCATCTTTGGACAAAGCCAGGCTGGCTGTTCCTTCTGTTTATGGATCGGACAAATATGAGGTATCAATCTTCTCATCTAACCCTCCGCAAGCGAGTGAAAATGCTCCCATGAATGTCAAACTATTCCTTTAAGATGTCTATAAAATATTCATAAACATTTGACTGGACGTGGCTTGCTAAAGAAACTCATTCTTTCCATATGGCGTATTAGTGGGGCTAGACAACAGCTGTTTCTGCTGCTGTCACCATCTGCAGGTGTCTGCCGGGATGATAACTTGTGGACCAGCTGACCGAGGACAAAGGACACACATACACACACACAAGCACCCTCTCAGGCCAGGCATTCATGCATGAGAAAGAAGAAATATTACTCAGAAAATGTAGTTTCTGTTCTTAGAGTGTTGGATCCACTGGAGAGCTTGATAGGATTCCTGTGGAAAAGTCTGCAGACATATCGGATCTGTTCTCCGAGAGTGGTGCAGTATGAGTGAGAGGTTCCTCAGCGGTTCCCTATCTCAGTGTGTGTGAGTCGGTGTGTGTGTGACTTCAAAGTCTGTCTGCCCAGTCGGAGCTTGTTGGACAGTAAATGAAACACAGCCTGAGGCCGACACACACACACACACACACACACACACACACACACACAAAACACACACTGTCCTCCTCTCATGCTACGTTGCGTACACACACGCATACACACACACACCGCCTTCACATGCTTTTTAGTGACTGGAGCTTGTTAGTAGTACAGCAGGAGAAGCCAGATGAACTTAGCCCACACACCAGGTGCACACTTCTGTCTATCGGTCCTCTCCTTTCTTTTCCACTTTTCTGAAAAGACTTTTTGAATAGTTTCTACTTTAATGTAACTTGTCGGCTCCTTTTTGATTCACAGTCACGTTTTTTGCTGAACTTCTTTATTTCAAACTTTTTATCTCACCAAGTTTACCCATTTTCTCTTTTTGCTCCCAGCCTCTCTCCTCGTCCTACCTGTCTCCCATTCTTTCAGATTAATGATATCTACCTTAAAAACATCCATACCCCTGTAGAACCCATTTCTGTTGTTTTTTTTACAAAGCAATAACAAAGCTGATAATTGTGGTATAGCTGAAACAATTAGTCGATTAATAAATTAATTGATTGACAGAATATTAATCTGCAACAATCAAATAATTGTTTGTCATTTATCAAGAAACAAGCTGAACATTTTCTAGTTACCGCTTCTAAAAGTTTGGGGAGTTCATGCTTTTCTTCGTATCCCGCCATAGTAAGTTTGACATCTGTGGCTTTTAGACCGTTGGTGGACAAAGGTAGAGCTTTTGTAAATTGTGATTTGACAGTTTCTAGTCCAAATGATGAATTACTTAATCAAAAAATAATAATGAGCATATTTACACATGAGGAAAATAATCTTTAGTTGCACCACTCCCATTTTGCATATGTGCGGCACCGTGTGATCTTACGTCTCGTCCAACCCAGCTGACGGTACAGATGACGGGAAGGGGGACGACTGTGGTCGGTCCTAAATGAGTTGGCTGAAGAAGCAGAGAAGATGGAGGGAAAGTAAACAACAGATGGCTGAAGCATGTTGCCACTATTTGCAGCAGCACACGCTGTGCCAGCCCACCACCAGCCTCTAGAGAGGCTACTAAGCAACGCTGACCGTGGCGACACAGGGTCAGAGGTCAAGTGCCTCCTTGATGACAGCCCAAAATGCCAGATTGTCATTCACATGCTGTGCCAGACTGGGCCAGCGGACACAGACACACTGAGAGTTTGTACAGTGTTAAATAGTGTTTTCCTTGGCTGAAGTTTGGCAGTGATGACTCTGGAATCTTCCATGCGGTGTCCAACCTTCACCCACCTGCCAGCCGTGATGACATACACTGAGGCAGCTGTGTGTGTGTGTGTGTGTGTGTGTGTGTGTGTCCGAGCACTGAACCCTCTGAGTGGTGGCACACATTGGCTGCCAGCTGCCATGACCTCATTCACAGCAAGGGAGACAGAAAGGGAGAGACAGAGAATGGGAAAACACGAGCGGCCAAATGAGAGGAAGATGTGTGTGCGTGTGTGTGTGTGTGTGTGTGTGTGTGTGTGTGTGTAGCGGGCATAGAAATTGAACACAGAATTACACCATGATCTCACTCTGTTGTGTGGTGGCCGACTGCTTTGGTGGGAATATTTGTGCTGGAGTCATCAGTCTTTGGTTAAAAATAAGAACTTTATTTATGTGGTATTAACTTTAATGCATTTTACATTTTAGAGAAACACAGAGTGTGGCCTATTTTAAAACCATACTTTTTCAGCTCTATATTATAGGGCTTCCAGGCTTAAGTAACTGCATAGCTCACGTATAGGCTGAGTAAATATTCTAGAGGTACACCAGTATAATACTGAATTTTGTTGACGCGTAACTAAGCTCGCCATCATCGAGGTGTGAGACACTCTTACCAGAAGATGCGTCAGTTCAGGGAACACATAAAAATAAATGGGTGCTTGTGGCGGGTGAGGTAAAGACAAGCAGCACATAGAGTGTTGTGTCATCCACTTCCCTGTCTGTGCCCGAGGTGTGACTGACTCTTTTCCTGTGAACAGGAAACACCCGCTGCCATTCCTGGAAGAGATCACTACGTCAGTTTAACCACACGGAGCTGTCTGTGTGTGTCTGTGTGTGTGTGTGTCTGTGTGTGTTTGTGTTAGTGTGTGATCACCTTTGTAGTTGTTTCATAGACTAAGATATGCTGCACAAGATTTGTTCTACTCATAAAAACCAAATGTACCACACTAAATGTACTTTATGTATGTGTAAACCAGAAATTACATATAATAAGAAATATCAAAAGAATCAATACATCTTTCTTTTAAAGTTAATCATCTGTTCTTTTCAGCACGGTGTCTATTGTCTATGCCTATACCGAAAATATACCAAAATTCTGAAGTAAACTGAAACTGAATAAAAACTGAACTAAAACTGTCTGCCCCACACTGGAAACTAACACATTACACTGAAAATGACATACAAATGGAAAGAACCTTCTAAAAATGAAACTACAATATCTGCAGTGGGTATTTCTTCACTAGGATTTGGGTTTGTCCTGTACTCTGACATAGAGACCACAAAACATAAACATCCTTCTACTGTTACATGCGTATCATTTACTATATATATTAAGTGTGAGGCAAGCGTAAGTCTTTGTCCCACTAAGAAATGGAGATAAATTGTTACTGGTCTTTTTGTTTTCCTCCTGTTGTGTTGCTGTTCTTGCAGACTCAACAACACATTACCTAAATGAGAGCGCGGCAGGTTCAAATCTGGGTGATGTTGCACAACTGGCGAATGTTTGCATGCATTTATTGGTATTGGCGTGTGACTTTGTGAGGAGGATACAGAATGAGTCAGAGTAAATGTGTGTGTAAATGTGCCGGTGTGTGTGTAGTCTTGTTCATCCTGTTCATTATTTATTCCTGTCAAAACAAAGCCACACGAAATCTGTGAAACAAAGAGTTTTGCCAACACTTGCCACCGGAGAAATTCTCTTTCAGTTTCTCTTCTTGACTTTCTCTTTTAATCTCTTAATCTTTAATTTCTCTTTTTCTAATAGTTCTCTCTCTTCTCTCAACAGGAGTGCCAGCAGCTCTGTCTTTCTGAAGACATTTGTGGCATGAAGCCAGATCGCATACATCCTTCATTCATTAACTCCTCCTCTTTCATCTCCACCCACAACTCTCCGGTTAGGAACTCTCACTTCAGCTCCACCGCATTGATGAGGTAGCGTCAAGCTCTACGCAGCGCAGCATCCACCTGCACAAACACCACCCTCCCCCCCTTCCGTCCCCTCCTTCTGTCAACCTTTCCATCGCAGCCATGGGGCAGAAGATCTCCGGGGGCATCAAATCGGTGGATGGTCGCGGGGAAAGCGGTGGCTCCCCGTCCTACCGACCTTCGGCTCAACGCCGGCAGCACCCAGAACTGAGGGGCCCTGATTTCGCCAAGCCTCCCAGGTTGGATCTCCTACTGGACATGCCATGTGCTGGACTGGAGACCCAGCTCCGTCACGCTTGGAACCCTGAGGATCGTTCGCTCAACATCTTCATAAAAGATGATGATAAACTGACATTTCATCGCCACCCGGTTGCTCAGAGCACAGACTGCATCCGGGGGCGGGTCGGATACACAAGGGGCCTCCACGTGTGGAGGATCCACTGGCCCTCCAGGCAGCGTGGCACACATGCCGTCGTTGGGGTGGCAACCTCAGAAGCTGCTTTACATTCTGTTGGCTACACGGCGCTGGTGGGGTCGGACTGTGAATCCTGGGGCTGGGATCTGGGACGCAACCGGCTCTACCACGACAGTAAGAACAGGTCCCACGGCTCGCTGCCCTCTTACCCCTGTTTCCTGGAGCCGGAGGAGTCGTTCACCCTGCCGGACTCTCTGCTAGTGATTCTGGACATGGACGAAGGGACGCTGAGCTTCATGGCGGACGGACAGTATCTAGGAGTTGCATTTAGAGGACTGAAAGGCAAGAAGCTGTATCCCGTTGTCAGCGCTGTGTGGGGACACTGTGAGATAGCCATGAAGTACATCAACGGCTTGGATCGTAAGTATCATACATCACACCAGCAACACATTATGAGCATGGTTGAGTACTGTTGAAGAGTACCCAATGCGGATATTTCATGATATCTGTCTATACAATAGTCTTTAAATTCATGGTTAGGTGGCCGTTGATACTAGAATTGGAAACTAACGGCGGTAGTCTAATCATGACATGTCGCCACATGTCCCAGGTTGTGGAAAGACTTTCAGTTGTTATGTAACTCCGTAAAGTCAGAGATTGTACATTTGACACACTCTCTTTGGCAGCAAACAGGGTGAAAGTTAGACAGAAAATCCACATGTTCTGCAATAGTCAAAGTAAGTGATGACACCGGTTTCCAGTTTAACAGCTCCTCGGCTGTGGTCTGGGTTTTTTTTTTTTAAATAGAAATCTTCTCTATGCCGTTGCTTCCTTTCAAGCCAACAACTCATCATGTATGAAAACAAGTTATTCGTCATGGCTTTGGGTTCTTTTCTGAGTGCAGTATTAAAAGGCAGACAGGATTTATTTTTTCTGCTGAACATTAAAGCGTTGGTGATGGACGTTTGGCTGACCTCTGTTTTGAGTTAATTATAATTCTTGTTGGAGGTACAGGAGCTGACCTCCTGGATGTGAAGTTTTCTCATTTTCTCTCGTCTCTCAGACTCATTTCTCCAGTTTTCACAGAGCAGTTCTTGTGCTAGGCACCTGAGGATGCATTAACAGATTATTTTCTCATATGTGGTCTTACAAATGGTACCTGCAGGTATCAACGCCATATTACTATCCTCGTTTGGTCTGTTTCAGTGATGGTCTTTTGGGTCACACTACCATGGCTGGAAGGGGTTGTTCTGCACTAAATAATCCTGATTGTAGCAGCACTACATCTAGCTGGATCAAGAGGTTGTTGTGTCTGTGGAAACCAGCTGTGTTTTCCGCGGTATGAGTTGAGGGAGATGAGTTCATAAAGAGCAGTTTGGATGTTGGGTTGAGGTATGTTTTGTTCCCAGGAGACGCTACATTGTGTTTGACTCCCGCTGTCTGTCTGCATGTGTGTGTGTGTGTGTTATGAGAGAAGAGACAGGCCTTCTCTCCAGTCTAAGTCTAAACACTCACTCTTTGAACAGCTTGTTTGAAAAGCTCTTAGAAACGCATCATGACCACCTAGTACACACAGACACACACCTGCCAGGAAGGGGAAATGTGTGTTGTGAACACACGCTCATGATCTGACTCTGGCCGTCCCCCCCTTCCCGTGTTTGCAGAACCCCATGGGTCTTATTTGATATCACAACAGTGTGCGTTTTTTGTCGGTCACCCAGCAGAAAGCAGAGAAGAAACCCATCTGTTACGTCTGATTTTTCTTTCTCCAATCACCTCAAATTCCTACTTGAAATTTTTCTCAGAAGTTCTTTGCTCTTAAGGGTCACCACGACATCAAGAGACTCTTTTTCTACACTCACGGGCCTCATCCTAGCTTTAAATGTGGTGGTTTTGGTCTTGAAACTAGAATATGAATCAGAATGAAACACAAAAGAGTTGGCTGAAATTCATATTCATATGTGTGGGATGTTTAGTAATCTCCTACACTCAGGCTTAGTTCAAAGTACATACTTTGGCTGTTGAAAGCAAGCTCCTCACCTCAGCCACTTCCCATTTATGGAGCCATCTGCTGGATTTCACGGCGAGTCTGTGTGATGGACCATCTAGGAGAATATTGAGTGTGTTCAAAGCCCCCGCTCCTACAAGCACATACTTCATGCCATGAAATGAGGTGAAAATGAGGTTTGACTGTTGAAAATGTGCACAGCTTAATGCATGGAAGAGAGTGAAGCTTGAAAGGCTCATCCTGATAGGTGTATCTTTAGGAATATGAAAAGAGGGAGTAGGCGGGGAAAAGGAGGCAAGCAGGGATGTGTGTGCATGAGAAACAGACCCTGAGACAGCAAGACATTTAAAAATATACTTTTGTGATCAGAGAAAAGGTCCAGAAAGTGGCACATTGAAATTATACATTATAATTATATACGACGCTATAATAGTCTGAAACCGTAAGCCCATTTTAACAGTTTGCTAACCCCAAAAGCAACATGCATTGTTCCAAATATACACACTCCCTGCAACAAAGGGAAGCACATGGCTAATTATTATGCAGAATGACATCATCAGACTTTTCCATTTTTTTGCACATTGGAGAAGTTAGTCTTCAAGGATTTCTGCCAGCAAAGGTCTATTTGAACCCAAACCATGGAGAGTAATAGAGCAAAGTAGTGCTGCTGCCAAAACCTAAGGAGCTTTCTGGAAGAAAGCCTGAGGACTATCTTCTACAATGTGAAAACAATATTTTGACCAATACTCTGTATTTCTGGGGTGTCGGACAAATGGCCTGTTGGTCCAATGGGACATTTTTCGGACTATTGGGGTTCCGAAACAATGGGGCGTAGGAACAATAGGCAGTCCCGAGGTGAGCAAAATGCTAGCATTCTAGGAAGCTACTGTAGCTCACAAAAGCTCAGGGAAAAATACTGTTACGTATATATACCTAACTCTACGTTAGGAAGTCTGTCGCTAGCAGGTCGATAAGTCCGGCAACAATTTCTACTCCGACAGAAAACCGTTTAATAAAAGTGCACGACGACACAGTTAGTTAAGCAATAGATTCCTCTGCTTTGGATTCTCCAGCTCTCAGTTCTCCTAAAAGGTCAGCACTGTTGTAATGGTTTGCTGTTGGTCAACAGTGAAAATTCACCAAACTAATGTTTTTGCTTGAATTAACTTCACTCCCATAAGCGAATCCACTGATCGCAAAATTCAATGATTTTGTCACAATATAGAAAGCAGTTTAAAAGGGTACTTTGTCATGCGACTATGTAGTCCAAAACTCTTGAACAAAATAAATGAAATCGTGTGTGCGTGCGTGCGTGCGTGCAGACTGACGAGACAAAGGCTTACTTGAGAAACAGGCCTCAAGTAGCTGAAATCCACTTGGACCACCAAACCTGAAACAATGCTTTTGGTTTCTCATTCCATTCACACACAACCACATCCAAAGCTGAGGGGTCTTGTTTGAGTTATTAGTGCTCCGGTCTTTACTCTGAATCTGAAACAAAGACTGTGACGAGAACGATATCTCCAGATTCAGAGGTGAAGTAAGTAGCCTCGGGGTGCTCTCTTTGTTGCAGAGTCGGCAAACAGATTATGATTACTGTCTGTGTGGCGGTTTCATTCATCACCACTTTTGAATTGAATCGGCTCGTATGCCCCGCAGATGACTCGGACAGTGAGAATGAAGTCTTAATTGCCGTCTGCCTGTGAGCGTAGGAGAGTGTTTGAGTTGCATTGGTCAGCTGACAGACATTGTATCACATAGCTGTCTGTTGCTGCTTTCTTCCCCGGTTATTGCTGAGCGTATCATCACTTGTGAAATGTGGGAGTTTAAACTTAAATGAGTGCATCGTATGAATCTTTTCTGCGTGTTTATGAGTGTATATGGTCATGAAAAATCTCCTTGGTAGTTCGGTAATGACTTAATCTTACGGCCCTTCCCGTGAGAAGCGACTATTGGATTGTTTGTAAATTATTGTTGTGAGTTGGGAAACAACATGACTGCAGGGTATTAAAAAGAGATTGATAGACGCAGCATCTCCTCGCCACAAACTGTTTGTTTTTCTCATCACTCCGGCTCAGGCACCGCTGCACCGCCAGCAGTTGATCATCACTTTGCTCCACCTCAGATTATTGCTCCCATTCCTGCAGTAACACGACACACACCGGCGAGACCTATATAACCAGTAGCACTCCAGGTTTATGGTAGTTTCGGGAAGATCACACAAAGCAATCAGGGTCAGGGAAGTGTGTGCACTAATGCAAATAAATGCTGAGCGAGGTTCAAACTGCATTATCCTGTAAATGTGATGTAAATTATTCATCCTTCATGCGCTCCGACTGGAGAATTTCTCCTCTTCCATCGAGAGCTGAACAGATCCCTGTTTGCCAGATGGTGTATATTTCACTTAATTGTTGATAAATTACATAAAAATGTGTAATTTTGCTTCCTTGATGCGCACTCTCATCTGCTTCTGTCTAATTTGTCTGTGCATATCTCTCTCTCTCTCCGACACACACACACACACACACACACACACACACACGCACACATCTCCGTATTCTCTCTCGTCCTGTGTCTATAATTGTACCAATTACCAGCGCTTTGATTCCCTACATTGGGAGCTGTCTTAGCTTTGGGTCCCGATATGTGGCTCTTTCTCTCTTTCTCCTCCTCTCTTCTCTTTGTACTCAAGCATACATCACACCAAAATTTCAATGTGAAATCTAGCAGTTTAATCTTGCCATCTGTATCAGTTAATACACAGACCACCCAGAATAGACTTTTTCTAAACTGTTAAAGGCCACTGTTAGGCAAATATGACTGTTATCAAGTCCTTGTAAATCCAATTTGGGGGATTGGTTTTAATTCTGGTTAAAGGATTAGATTTATTTCCTGGTAGTGAAGCTAATGTCAGGGCATTTTTCTCCAGTTGCTGAATATGTGACATCATCAAGGTTTGTTATCCAACAGCTGTGATATGATTTACCAACTCAAACCAGCTTCATCCTCGGGACAGTTTAGCTGAACCAGATGACGGGACCAATAGATGCTGTCTCAGAGGCAGAACAGGAAGCAAAGAGAGGTGAAAACAGGGAGGATAGGAACAGGGAAGTTAGGTTGAAAAGAGGGATAGAAGAGTAAAAAAGAAGGTGACGGAATGTAAGAAAAACAGACAGAGAGCTACAGGGAGAATAAGTTGAAACCAGGATAATAAGGACCATACTGGAGTTTTATCAAGAGAAGGATAGAGTCAGAATACAAAGGCATGTGAGCGGGAGGGTGTGAACATTAAGGACAAACAAACTAGCGAGCTAGCAGAGCTGTGCAGTTGTGTGAGATATCTCAGCTGATCAGCTTCTTCTGGATAGAAACGTGTCACATTGTTGAGTTTCAAAACTGCGTTGCAACACAC